TTGGTAAGGCCTTAAAAGTGCTTAAAGCGAACAACAATGTGCTCTCCACAGATATTGGATGTAACAGCAAAGTATCCAGAACCTGTGCTCAAACCCCTCCATTAGGAACCCTCTATAACTGCGCTGGCTGACAGAGATGTCTGCATTAGTCAACAGGGTGGCATGGAACTCATCTTGTATGCAACCTTGAGCCCAGCATGACGCAACACAAATCTTGGTAAATGCAGAGGTGAGTAATGATCCCAGTGCTTGGCAACCTGCATAATTAGTCAGGTTGAAAAAAAAGACACAAAAGTCTATCAAGTTTAACCTATAAAAAAAGTAAAAAAAGAAGAAAAACCTAAAACAGAATGCTATGCCCATATGCCCAGTCACCCATAGTTGATCCAGAAAAATACAAAAAAAACCCTATAAAAGCACTGGTAAATTTGCTCTAACAGGGGTAAAAAAATTCCTTCCTGACACCATAAGGCAATCGGATATTGCCTGGATTAACAATCTCTGGTGTTTATTTTACTTTGAAGAAGTTAATATCTAGTAATCTTCTGTGCGTTTAGGAATACATCCAGATTTTTTTTTAAACAGTAATGGAGCTAGCTAGAACTAGCTCCTGGGGGAGTGTATTCCACATTTTCACAGCTCTAAGGCCTTGTTCACACCAAATGCAGAGCAGATCCGGTCAGGTTTCTGCACACGCAGTGCAGTGGGTTGTGCCGCGTTTTTGATGCGTTCCGGGCCGGTTTTGGTAAAAAAAAAATTATGTTTTTTTTTAAAAAAGTTTAACATGGGCTTTCAGGCACTTGCATGCGTTTTTGATGCGTTTTTGATGAGTTCCAGAGCAGATAAAATAGGGCTTGCCGCAGTTTTTTCACCTGCTCTGGATCTGCACGCTGCGATGTGAACTGGAGGTCAAAATACCATAGGAATACATTGGACGCAGTTTTGATCCGGTCTGCACCTGCTCTGGTCTGGATCTGCTCCGCGCTTGGTGTGAACAAGGCCTTACTGTGAAGAATCCTTTGCGTATGCAAAGGTTAAATCTCTTTTCCTCCAGACGCCTCCTTGTCCTTTGTAGTGACCTTAAAGTGAATAATTTGGCACCAATCTCATTATATGGAGTCTAGGCTCAGGCTCTGAGATTTGATAGTTGAATGACATGAACAGAGCTTAGCACCAGTGGAATGGGTCCATTAACTTGTCCAGAAGTCATAACCCTGTGTGCAGTTTGGGCCTAGGATGCAGCAGTAAGTATATGTAGACATGACAAGCTGCCTGCACTTCTGCAGTACTGTTAGCTGCAGCACATTTTAGGCCCGGGGAAGCTCACTTTTCGGGAAAGCAGTGAGCACACAACCTGAGTTATTGCATTCCTTTACCTTAGTCATTTGTATATTATTTACACGGTCCACATCTCCATTATTACATTAGATATACAAATTAGTAGATTCAGGCCACACATCCGTCCTGGTGAACAGCTGCTGCAATAAATCTGTGAACCACACAAACTCTATTGCCCTAATATTTATGGGTCCAATCCTCAAAAGCCCAAAAGTCATGAACAGCAGGCCTGGGGTCACAAGTAATTGGACAGGTTAAACATGCCTATGTAATCATTATGTTTCCCCCAAAAATAACCCATCACTGTGAGACCAGAACATTTCTGTTTAGAGCAGAAGATGGGTCAAAATGTGCATTAACATCTGATTGCCTACACACACTGCCCAGAGATCAGCTTTAAATCATGACTATCAAAACTCTCTGCTCTGTTATAGATCATTCATTAGATCACATAAATCTGCCTGAGCAAAAAGAAAACTGTCCTTAGTCTACTGTCATATTATAATCTGAAGGATGTGACCCTGATAAGGTAGTCACCATAATCAGGGGAAAAGGGACTAGAAGGCTGTCAGGAGCTGTACTCCTCAATGGGAAAAAAACTTTCCTCCTAGAATGATGATGTATAGTCTTCAAAGGTTTTATTATCAACATATTAAAGTAAATGGCTAAAAGACAGTTCAAGAGGAACTGCTGGATTTGAGAACTGTTCGATGGCACATACAGTATGTCTGTTACATATTATGAAAGTGAAAATCTGGAATTGGTTGCTCACAAAAATTCTACAACTGTTGTGGTTTAATTTCCTTTTTTCCACTGTTTCAGCTTCAGTTAAACAGACATGTACCATAAATATGTTTATTTAAACTGGAGCACTACGCCCCCTAAAGCTTCACATGCAGGAATGCACTGAAGGAGCGGTACAAGAGAAAGGCCCCTGGCTAGGTAGCAATGAAACCACACAGATAGCATCACAGTAAATTGTGTAACAGCAAAACAAGTAACATAGGCAGCACAACAGATGTAAATAACAAAGATCTGATTGTGTAAACTTGCATCCCAAATAGGTAGCTATTAAAAGTAGTAATGATTTCCATGCCAGTTAAATCCGGAAACATAAACAGCTCAACCCAGTAAGTAACAGAGATCTGGACGAAAAACACTGCACCAGGTAAGTAAAGGAAGCACGCCATGATGGAAACACAGTGTGCAGGCCGCTGTTGCTGATATCACTTTCTGAAAATACTAATGTCATGTCAGTTATGCAGCTGCTTTGATATGATTACTTTTTTGGGTCACTAACCCAGAACAAGTACAGAGACAAGGAACTTTTGATCTCTTAACAGTCATCCACTGCATACTTTTTCAGGGTCCTCAAAGTATTAAAGTCAGGCAACTAGCAATTTCAAAAGGAGCTCAGTAATGTAGCCCACATATTTCTCTCATGACAGGTGTAGCTTAAACACTACACTAAGTGGAAGTTAGACAAAGTGCAATATACAGAGCTATAACAGTGGTCATAGTGTTAGCAGAGGTTTTACACACATAGCATAACCAAGATTCGTCATGCCATTGCTGCCACCAAAGTCTTATGACCAACTGTTCATAGCCTAAAATAGACTTCACCAGCTTTTTTGGAACTGATGGTTTGCGTGGCCAAGAAAAGTCCTTTCACTTTGGAAGGGTGGAGGGGCATGAAAAATAGTTACATAGTATTTGAGGTTGGATAAAGACACGGGTCCATCAAGTTCAACCTTTGTGTGTCTGTTTGTGTGTTGAGCGTGCATGTGTGTATATGAGTCACTGTGTGGTCTTAGTTTTTAAGAGTACCTGTACCCCTGTATGTTACGGTCTCTGAGGATGGCATCCAATTGATTATTGAATGAATTAATATTCTCTGCTGATACCACTGCTTGTGGCAGAGAGTTCCAAAATGTAACCACTCTGACTGAAAAGAAGCCCCTACGCCCTTTGTGGATAAATCTTTTCTCTACCGATTTTCGGTGGTGGCCTCTAGTCCTTGTTAGGGAGTTTACAGTAAAAAGTTTATTGCTGATGTTGCCATCTCCACTAAACATTTTGTACATCAAAATCATGTCCAGCGTGAACAAATTAAAATTTAACAACCACGTCTCATAGCTTAGGTCCTCCAGCCCCTTAATTTGTTTTGTGGCCCTTCTCTGGACTCCCTCTAGCACAAGAACATCCTTGCTGTGGATTGGTGACCAAAATTGAACCGCATACTCCAGATGAGGCCGAACCATTGATCTATAAAAGTGGCAAAATTATTTATTTGTCTCTACAGTACATTCCCTTTTTAATGCATTACAGTACCCTGCCAGCTTTGTTTGCTGCAGCCTGGCATTGCATACTGTTATTCAATCTGTGGCCTACTATGACCCCCAAATCTTTTTCAATTTCTGACTTCCCTAATGTGCTAAAGCATATTGTCAAATCTGCAAAGCATTCCCACAGAAGTATAGCATAGAAAGTACATGTGATTGGCAAACCAACTCTGCAATAAAATCACATAGCAGATCGGCAGAACACAGTAACTAAGCTTTCCTTGGTCCATACTCCATAAAGGAACTATGACTTGTGGTGTGACGGGGAGGCCATCTTATAATATAAGATGTTTAAAAAATAGGGTTTATACCATTTGTTGCTATGATCTGTTTAGTCCTAAAAAGGAAAGGAGATAAACCAATCCCATGCATATGCTACCATAGGACAGCAAAGAACACAAGTTTTTTGCAACTTTTTTACGAGGTAAATGCTTTACATTAAAGAAAAGAGAACGTACCAAATGTTTGTAGTCTACCAATAACCCTTCTCGTTGTACATCTTCTAAAGACTTCTCTACTGGTCCGAGCAAATTAAATTTACGAAATCTTTGGAGAAAGAGAGACACTTGTCAACTGCAGCCTGCAAGTAAAATTACCAGATCTAGTTTTGAGAAACAGAACTAAAGTGCCACAAAGTGATGGTCTTACCCTTTAATATTAGGTGGATTCCTGTGGGGAAAAAAGACATTGTAAATACAAATGCTGGAAACCAGGCACATAAACAAAAGCAGATAGATGATGTATACTGGTGTATGTAAATATGAATTACAAAATCCACGAAATACTTATTTTTGTTTTGTGGATAATAGAGCGTTAGGTGGATCTCCAGCTGTAGGAAGTCAAGCCCTCTCTTTGTATGCTCCTGAGATTGGAGGGGCTAACTTGGCACACAGGATAGGATTACAGATCATAACACAGATACTGCCTCCACTGACACTAAACGCAGGAGTCATATCTTAAAAATGTGTGAACGGGGCCTAAGATTGATTTGACAGCCAGGCAACTAACATTGTTTTTGATTGATGATAAATAGCACTTCTGAGTCTTCTGAGCACACAGTGGTTGTAATACCAATTAAGTGAAAAAAAAAGGCTCACACTCCTTTAATAAAAGTTATGAACTGCAAAACTATTATATAGGATTTTGGCAACTGAATTATCTTTAAAGCCTTGTTCCCGTGGAAAGCATTGTCTTGCATTTTACAATAAAAATTCATTCATTTAAATACAGCCCACTCGCACAAATTGTGTTGCAGTGTGGTATACCAAAGTCTTACAAACTGTATTTTGGTGCTCTAGACTACATTTTGCCAGAAATAAAATCAGAAATCCATGGTTCACTTAATACAATTTTCACCAGACTACAAGAAGATATTTATCGAGTGTAGTGGGATGATATGAGACATACAACTGACCTCCTTTCCAGGAATCACATAGAAAAACAAAAGGTGCTGTCATTTTTAAAGACATTTTGCCAAAAAAAAATGCAGCTATCACACAGCAGTAAGCACAAAATCAAATACTTCCATTTGTGTAGAGGCGTGGGTACCTAAAGCTGAAGCTTTTCCTTAGGTCTTGTACATTTGTACATGCTCCTTTCCTGTACTGAAATTTTATTTTCACTGGACATTGCACATTAGAAGCTGCAGAAAGTCAGATACAGCCTGTCTTATTTCCCAGCATCACCTAGCACTTTTCTCCTGAGTCTGACTGTCTTTGGCCCACCCCTTTCCATCACACAAAGTTTTATTTATTTGGAACAGCGAGGCATACAAAACAAACATGACAAGAGAAAAGAGGCCATAAATAAATTACAAATGCACAATAAGGATATAAATACAGATACAAACATTGTAAGAAGAAGTAGCACGTTGGCGGGTATTGTTCCAAGTTGTGGGAAGCGAAATTAACTCGAAGTTAGGCGCTGGCTATATAAAATAAGTACAAGTTGAGGATAATTTGGCCCACCCCTTTCATTCATTGGATTTCAATTTGTTCAGTCATGAAGGCACAACATCAAATGAGTGACCAAAGGTGATCTGCATACAAATGCAGTGCACTTAGGACCTCCCACTCCTCTAGGTTGGTATCCACCCATGAAAACACTGTGATGGGAGAAGTTATGCAACAGATGCCTAAGAGAGGAGTGCTGAGACATAGTTCTGTGATGTTTTCAAGAAGCTATGTACAGCACCCTGCCAGCACCTCTTCCACCAGCCATGATTAGCCTGCTTAGTTTATGGAAGCACAGAGACCCAGTGATGACATCACTGGATCTAAAATAAGGCATGTAAAAAAGGAGGGGCTTTAATTGAAAATGTAATTTGCATGTTAATCGGGGAAAAGGAGGAGCCAGGGAAGGCAAAATATATGCAGATTAAACATGCAAATTATATGCAGATTGTACTTCAGCTTTAATACATCTAACAATCTTTTAAACAGTGCAACGTTCAGTCCAGTGTTTAATTAGCTAGGATAGAAGTCTTGGTTAAAAAGAACGACAAATAAATAAAAAATTCTTGCATCATTGAGACATTTAAAACATACTTATCAATTTTGTATGAAACCTTTACGTTGTGCTTGAGTTCATTTAGATTCACGAGAAGTCTAACAGGGGAAAAAAAAAACCCCATGAAGCCATTCACATTTATATTCAACAAAACAATAATACTATTATACAATAAAGTTACTATATTCTACAACTCTTCCACTATTACTATAAGGGATTCCACCATTACAGATGTGGTCTCTAAAATCTCATCTCTCTGTGTGCTGCAACATGGACCATAAACAGCTTCCAGGTACAATACTTAGTACAATAAAGGGGAGCACATCCACCATAAGAGATATAGATTATAGATTTTATATATACATATATATATACACATATTTATATAAAAAACATAAAAGCTACCTCCACTTTTTATGTATCAGCTCAGAACGGTAACTAAATGTAACCAGAAGCCAAACCAAAACAGAGCTTCTAAGATCTCGCATACAAACACGTGGTAGCATTTATCCCTTCATAAGGGAGATTTATTTATCTATTAAAAAGGAATTCCCATTATTTGATTGCACTATTACTGTTAATATAGATGCATACTAATGTTGGAGAGGACTGCCGTATATTTGTCCCCCTACCTGCCTGGCCGGCCTGTTACTGATTGGAAGAAGCTTGGGGGCGTGTAAACCCTTACTGTTACGATATGACATCTCCTGTATTAGTTTTATTCTTTTACATTGTGTATTGTATCCTTTGAAACATCAATAAAAACTACATGCTAAAAAAAAAAAAAAAGGAATTCCCATATAATACCTGCTAAATATTCAAAAAATGTATACTTAAAAAAAAATATTCAAAAAGTACATTACAGAAAACTACAACAAGAAACGTAAAGAAAATAAAAATGCTGTTTTGAGGCTCATTAGAAAGTTGCTGTTAAAATAAATCTGCCCTGTATGTATACTAGCAGCCAGCAGTTCTATCACAAAGCCCTGTAGCACGGATTGTTCATTCATTATAGTAAACAGTCAGATAAGAGAGGCGGCAGGAATGCCCATATTTTAGGCTTCTGACTGTGGTGGAGTTATAGCCAGAATTAACATAAATAAAGAGGCATTTGTTTCCAAAATGGGGCCACCGATCTGAATGGGACAGAGTACTATATGCATATGGTCCCTTGGTGGATAAAATAAAAAAATGATAATTTTTTGTGAGACTTCTTCTTTAAAGGTAGACTTTATAAAAAGCTCTGCGGCACATTTTAAGCTGTTTAGAAAACAGAGAGTACACTCTCCAACGAACATAACTTGGACTCACCTGGCTCTTACGGAGAACTGTGTGCTGGTCTTTAACACCAATGCTCGTCTGCAAGGGTACAGCATAATTGGCTGCCTATCCACCACAAAAGATCTGATAGGAAGAATGCAAAGACACTGTAACTGTCATACTAGCCAGGGATTTGGGGGGGGGGAGAGGGGGGTTGCTTAAGAGTTACTATAGCTGAAGTCCAGGTACAAAAACATTCATGGAAATATATTCTTCATAACCACAAAGCATATAAATCCACTTTGTGTTCATCAAACTCCTTTGCACGCACGGTTATCACCTTATAAAAGTAGCAGTGACATCATCACTGTGCTATACATAGTCTGCGCAGAAAGCAGAGCTGTGGGAGGGACTCAGCAAGCTCCACCCACCACAGGCAGAAATATAGGAGGGGGTGGATACAAGACAAGTCACTCTGCACAAGGAGAGAGAGCGGCAGTGACTGGTCTTTATTATAGGAAGCTCCTGCACATAGGTAAAGTGCAGAAGTTGTTTTATCCTGGATTTCTGCACGGATTTGGAAAAAATACACAAAGGACACCAAGATTCAAGTAAGAATGCATGTGGTTCTTAAAGGAGAACTATGAGGTGAATGCTTTTCACTCACCTCAGTTCTAGTCGACCTGTGACAAATGAGACTGAAAACAAAAATGATATTTTATTGGATATGGTCGTGATGACACGCTCACGTCATTTTCTGTGCAACGATTGTGGAGAGATGGCCTTTGAATAAGATCGATTGGAGACCCATTAAAGCGATTCTAGACCTGGAGCACCTGGGTGATAATTGGAGTTGACGTATGGACTTTGTACAAAGAACTTTCACTGTGGAAGGATAAAGAGTGTGGTGCACTTGGGACAAATCTTGAGCACTATATACGTGTGATTCCACATTTGTGTATATTTGAACATGGAATATATGATTGAACTTTCCAGAGGACTATTATTTATAAGAAGATTCATTGTGAACACTTTTTTTATTGCATGTATTATTGAAGCACATATTTATTATAGAGATTTGTTCTTGTATTGTTCTAGATGAAGCGCAGCACATTCATTATAATTTGATATATTTGGCTAGTTCACCCGCCCGTACCTCCAATGGCGATATAACTTCTTCTACTAAATTAATGACTTCCCAGGACACCAACCGGCCTGTAAGTTGGGTGACATCATTGACCAAATCTGGTCATAAGCAGCATCACCAGCCGGCTTATTTACATTTGGCAGCTGACTGCGGAACTGTTATTTAGCAAGAAGAGTCCAGTGGCAGAGTACTGACAGTGCAGGTTGTCGTGTTTGTGTTGAAGGTTGTCAGTGTGTTGTTTTATGTGAATAACGATGGATCTACATTGATGGACGATTGATTGACTTGGTATATGTTTGAAGAATGTGCCCCCTCCTTTCCTGGCCACACGGGCTTTATACTTAGATAAGTGCCTGGTATGGATTTAGAGGGGGACACCAGGCAATAAAAAAAAAAAGACAATGCCCGCCCGTTCCCCTAAAATCCATACCAGACCCGTATCCTTGAGAAAAGGAAGAAGCAGCAAGCCTGTAACCCCACTGAACCATAACAGGCCACATGCCCTTAACACTGGGAGGGCACAGTGACAAGGGTCTCATCCCCATATTCCTAGCCCACTGGATGTGGAAGTCTATGGAGGGAGTTAGGAACAGGGGAGGGGCGTGGGTTGAGAAAGGCACCCTCGCCATTTTAAAGGCATGTGGCCTCGTATAGTTCAGGAGTGGGGAAGGGTACATGCTTGATGACCGCACACACGCACGCAATGCATGCATGGATAAGGGTCTGAAATTAATTTCCCAAGCATGTTATTTAAAGGAATTGTACATTTTTAAATGTTGATCATTAAGCCTTATTAAAAGAGCTGTTCCCATTGAACAGTATTTTTTTTAGATTTGTTTTGCATTGGTACATATCCTCTATGGCAGTGTTCAGCTACAAATACCATGTTTTAACAAAAGCTTGCAAATCAGCTTTAAAAAAGGCCAGAAAAATAATCCAAGATTTGGCTCTCACAGACTTCAATTGGTTTCCTGCGCTATGTTCAGGGTTTGCAGATTTTTTTTTACATGTTCTGGGAACTTTTCTCAGGTTGCTCAAGGCTACATCCGCTACTAGTACCAGCAACTCCACGGCACCGCCAAGTCACAGCCTTCAAATGAATCAATACAATAATCTCTATATCTGTGCTATTTTGGGAAGGAAAGGCGGAATTCCATGGCTCTACTGCACCACACAGTATCTGTGCTGTCACCCTCTCAACAGACCTTAGTCACCTACCTTTTCTTGACTGCGAAACAGACCATTGCAAGAGCGAGGAGGACACCCGGGGTTCCTTTTCCTGCAGTGAAGCTCTGCATGAATACGATGTTCATCAACGAAAAGATGATGAATATCCTTCGCGATACTCATGCTCGGTTTCTTAAGGTTTGGGACCCCTGGATCTCATACGCTCTTCCAACTGTGGATCCCTCTAGTTTCTGCAATCCTTGACGACTCTCATTTTGAAGCTCCTTCAATGTGTGTTAGGGATCTTGGAGAACCTGGATTATCTTATCTTTCTTTCCTTTTCTCTATCCTTTTACCTTTACTCTCCCTTTGCTTTACTTTCCCCTTTGCTCTTTCCTTTCTTGCTCTTACCCTCCTTCTTTGGCAATATGGGCCCTTCGGGGGCTTCTTTATATATAATGGGCTCGTGACTCAATCCCTGGGTTTCCAGGCTGCGCAATCTCACGATCTAATCGCCTTTGACTAGATTTGTACATTTATGGGTCATTATACATTTAAGTCCTTCATTATTGGATGTGTTATAACCTGCTCATGGCCCCTGTGTGGGCAGCTTCTTTTGTTTCTTTGTTAGGAAAATGTAATAAAAATGTATTATAAGTGAAAGGCGGAATTCCGCAGGGCATGAGCATCCATCTCATCAAATAAAGTTATTTTTAAGTTAATTAATATGTCATTGTGTAATTAATATAGTGTATGGCCTCTGTTAATATAAATCTCACTGCTGGAGTCCCAAAGGCTATGGTGTCACCCACAAGCATTCATACCTGCCATATAATACTTTTAGGTGAACTAACCTTTTATAAATGGAAAGTAGAGAGGAAAAAAGAGTCACAATAATTATACTTACATCTGTAGAAGACTATGCAACATTTCATTTAGCCTATATTGCAAGGTTTGTGGCTCAGTCTTCAGAGGGTCGTTTTCATATGTTAACTGTTTTGAAAGCTCACTTAGAAGATGTAAAAGACGTCTCAGATGGAAAAATACTTCTGCTGTCTTTGTCATCCTACGTTATGAGAGGTGAAATGCAAAAATAAAAAAAATATATTTTCTTATGTTTTTTCAATTCAAAAGTAAACTGACATAAATATTACAAAATAAAGCAATGACAGTACCACTGAAATGATAATGAAGCTACCTCGTGGCTGTAGTTCCAATCAACAACTGAAACAAGACATGGTTCTATTAGCCAACAGGAACATAATATGTAGTGAGTGTATACAATATGGCCAAAAGGTAGACACCTGACCATCACACCCACACTATATGACCAAGACTATGTGGACACCTCTCCAAATTATTGAGTTCAGAATGTACAGTATAGTTTCCAATGAATGGTACTGTTAATGCTACAGCATCCAAAAACATTGGAGGTACATACAAGGTATTTTTTTCCCCAGCATATATGTGCCCCTAAGAAGAAAGTCAGGTCTATAAAGACATGGTTTGATTAGTTTGGCATAGAGGAATTCAAGTGGCCTACACGGAGCCCTGACCTCAACCCTAGTGAATAACTTTGGAATGATTTGGATCACCAATTGTGAGCCAGGTTTTTTCATCCAACAGTTCCTGACCTCACAAATGTTGTTTAGGCTGAATAAGCACAAGTGTATACAGACAGGCTTAAAAATCATATGGAAATTCTTACCTGAAGAATGGAGGCTGATATGGCTGCAAATGGGGGAGCACAAATCCATAATAATGGCCAAAGTTTCAGAATGGGATGTTTAACAAGTTCATATAAGTACGACGGTGAGGTGTACACAAGCATTTAGCCATATAGTGTAACAAGAGGTATAAGGTATATTAACAATGTTATCATATATTTAAGGCAGAACTATTATCTGAAACCACTAACTACTGTCAAAGTTTTTGTTGTTGATGATTTATTCAAACTAATTCCATCCACTAGCAGGGTGCCTTTAGAATTCTACCAGATTACCCCCACACTCGCAAAGTTCTGAGGATGTATGATAGAAGGAGTCTTTTATAGCCGAAGACATGATCTGCCAAGGTCACAAGCTTGCAGCTTCTAAGATCATTGTGACAATGGCTGATTGGTGTATTAGTAACAAATAATATTCACTTTTTCACTAGGACAGAAAGAGAGTATGAAACTTTCCAACAAAGAGACGTCAATAAAAACCGGCCCCACTCTACCGAAAATAAACTTTTTTACTGCATTTTAAATGTAACTTTATGTATAACAAATTAGGAATCAAACTAATTGACTCAACACATACTAGACCGCTCCCTGCTTACCAGCCTTCCAGGTTTTTGAGACAGGTGTTTGCGTCAGCTCCAATGCATGCTAACTTTTGCCTCCGAAGCCAGTCATTTAATTCTTCCAGCAGAAAACCATGAAGGGTCTCGCACAGACCGAGCAGCTCCCTTATCTGACTCAGGACATCCTTAAGTGCAGAATAATAACAGATGTTACAAACATATCTTGCCAAATCAAACAACTGAAATATTGACATTTCATTATTATTAAGGTATCGATAAAGTGTATGAAACTATGGTTTATTGAATAATCATCTTTTGTTGAGTTGGGTGGTACAAGCAGAGCCACATAGAGCTCGAATTTTGGTCGAATCAGCAAAACTCGGCCGAAATTCAAGCAGTGTATGGCAAGCTTAAAGCGTATACTAAACCGAAAAGCAAAAATGTAATATACTACAGCTTATCAATCCTTAAAAGTGGTTGCTGGATCAGTTTTTCTTGTTAAGGCTTTTTTACCTTTATTTTCACTTGGTTATCTGGTCAGTAACACACTTCCTGTTTTAGGCTGGGTTCACACCTAGGCGTATCGAATATGCGCATTTGTTATATCGAATAGGCGCGATTCGCGGTAAAAAACGCGCGTTTCCAAGGTCTACATGGCTGTATAACAATGGAAACGCGCAACAAAAATGCCCCAAAGAAGCTCCTGTACTTCTTTGGGCGTAGGGCGTTTTGTAGCGCGTTCATACGGCCTGTAATACGCCCAGGTGTGAACCATACCCATAGGAAATAATAGGATTTTGGTACTCACCGTAAAATCCTTTTCTCTCAGTTCATTGAAGGACACAGGGAACAGATCGGAGATCATGTACTGTAGGGTAATATCGCCACCTGCAGGAGAAGGACGCTAGGCACAAAATTACAGCCTAGGGGCGGCCCCTGCCGGTGGCCAAACCCCCCACCTACTGAGAAGTCTCCAGTTTAGTAACAAGCAGTAAAGGAGTACACACCCACATAGAGGGGTGGGCCCTGTGTCCTTCAATGAACGGAGAGAAAAGGATTTTACGGTGAGTACCAAAATCCTATTTTCTCTCCCGTTCATTGAAGGACACAGGGAACAGATCGGAGATCATGTAATACAAAACGCCCAGGTGTGAACCAGGCCTAAGTGTGGCTCCACTCTATGGAGGAGCAATTGAACCACCCCTGGACAGCAGCATTATCACCCTGTAGAGAAGGTAGTTTTAGATGGACGAGCAGATTTTGATGGACTTGACTTTATAAGAATGAATGCTGAACTCCAGCTGAACTAACACCTTACTGTTACTTTTACAGCAACAGTTTTTTTTTCCTACTGGGATAAAAGTTTTACATAAATTATTAAAAACTGACCATCGTAATCACCTCTGTCAGTGTTAAATGGTGTGTCACAACCCTCTATCTGCCACTTTTGCTGGACAGCTTGGTTTGTTAAAGGAAGGTGAAACATTGCAGACTTACTGACTTGATCTCCAGGTGAACAAAGGAAAAAAAATCTAATGTAAACTAATGCAGCCACCATATTGAATGTTTGGTAGGCTGCAATATATTAATTAATTTGCTTTTGGGTTTACATATGCTTTACATTTTGACAGCGTAAGTCATGACAGGAGCTGCTGTGGTCATTTCAGGCAGGGAAATGCAGGGGGAGTGACTGAGTGGTCAGAATTAGAGCTGCAGCTAACGATTATTTTCAAAATCGATTAGTTAGCCGATTATTAAGTTCGATTAATCGGTTAATCGGATAAACAATAAAATAAAGTTTAAAAAATGGCTCCAGTGATAGGACTACTAGCAAATCACAAAGGAAGGGCAATGTGGAAGAACACTGGCAGGATCACCGGGTATTTAGCCTATATTACCATTTACAAGTAATAAGAACACTGCTATATAAATGTTTATATGGACTAAGGAATTTATTAAAAGAGTATATTTTAAGTTTACATACACTTTAAGTGCCGTCAAGTCGATGTAGAAAATGTAAAGGGAAACATATATATATTTTATTTAATGAGACAAAAAAAATCACTTTACACATAATCAAATGAAATGTGCCCTCTTTGCCGAGGCACATATAAAAAGGGGACATTTTGCAAAGGGGACACTTGCTGGCCGTACACTGGTAGATTTTTGTACAAAATTTCATATGAAAAATCGGAACATTTGACAATGGCATCAGAGACGTGATGAATGTTTTTGTTTGATTTTAACATCTGATTTGGAAATGGAGTTTCCCCGAACAAAAAACACATTTATCGCTCCTTTGATTGTTTCCTTCACCGCGGTGCAAAATGGATTGTTAATTGGACTCCATTAAACTGCTCTGAAAACAAACTGTTCCAAACAAAATTCTACAGCTTTAGAGGGGAATTACCTCATGGGAGAGATTTCCTTTCTATTTCAAAGTTTTTATTAGGTTTTTTCACACACGTAGGTCCGTATACACAACTACGCGACCATGCATTATACATATTACTGAGTATACAGGCAAGTAACATAAGTAACAAACAATTTTATACTCGGTCTTGTGGATCATCATAGGCGATGAGACTATAATGAGCAACCTAACTAAGTCAGGTTGGAACAACCTTAATACATTATTACTAACATCTACTTGGTTCAGAAATACAACATTCCATATTGGTATGCATTGAAAAGCATGATAACACAGAGTCCCAGTAGAGGGATAAAGAACAAAGGAAAAAGAGCGGGGGTGGGGGGATTGGGAAAGATTCAGAGAGGGTACAGGGCAAAAGGAGCAGCCCGAATGTGCCGCACCCATATGCGCAGTACGAGATGGCACCATGTACCACCTCATGATCACCTTATATGCCACTTCCGCGTTCGTGATATTAAGAGAGCAGCCAGCCATGTTACGCCACATGTGTTGCCATTCTTCCGCCGTCCAGGCGGCCCCTATATCATTCTCCCATTTCTGAACATAGGAATGAGAGACATGGCTCGAAAGTCTATTTAATTGGGAGTATAAAATTGTAACCAGACCTGGTCCTTCTGGAGTATATAAACAGAGATTTTCAAAGCACGTCAGAGGATGTTGCGGGTCCCTTCTACTCGCCAAGGATGTAATCCAATGGTGGAGCTGAAGGTAGCGGAACAATTCCGATTCAGGTGGGTGCTTACGCTCTTTTATATACTGCCAAGTGGGGACACAAGTAGAACGGAAGAAATCATAAACTAAGGCATACCCATTGGCTGACCACCACCTAAACGTCAGTGATGCGGAAGCTCCTGGTGGAAACAATGGTTGTGAGAACAATGGTAAAAGGGGTAAGTATGGAGACGGCAACCCTGCAGAATACTTGATCGTGTCCCAAACCCGAAGTGCATGTGACATGGACTTGCTCAGAGTTTTTGGTCTATCTCAGGAGGGTAACCAAGGTAGAGCATGCAGTGGTATGGGAAAACAAGTAGGGATTTCTAATAACATCCACAGTGGGAGGTTGGTCTTCTGGTGAATAGAAATGAGCAGTAGGAGTTGTGAGGCTTCATAATAAAGCACTATATTAGGCAACCCATTACCCCCGTCTCTTTTATGTTTATATAAAGTGGTTTTAGCAACTCTAGCTTTCTTGGGGTGCCAGATAAAAAGTAAAATTTGCCGCTGAAGGGAACGTAAGGCAAAGGGTGGCACTGCCACAGGTAATGTTCTAAAAAAATAAAGGAGTTTAGGTAGTAACGTCATCTTAATAGCTGCCACCGTACCAAACCGTGAGAGATTAAGATTCTGCCATTTGGTCATAAGAAGTTTTAAAGAGCGAAAAAGTGGTATATAGTTAGCAGCATATAAGGTCTCATAGGTAGGCGTGATATGTAGTCCCAGGTATTTTATAGAGTGTTTAGCCCAGGAGAACGTGTAGTTCGCACATAGCCGGTCATATGAGGATTGGGACAGGGTCACATTTAAGGCAGCGGATTTACTCCAATTGACCGTAAGACCAGATATAGCGGAGAAGCGTTGTAGCAGAGCGAGGAGATTCGGGACAGTGGTATGAGGTTGAGTGAGCGTAAGCATGACGTCATCGGCAAATAAGCTGGCTTTATACTCAACCCCGGCTAAGTCAACTCCCTTGATATCGGGGTTAGAACGTATAAGAATCGCTAGGGTTTCTATAGCTAGCGCAAAAAGGGCTGGGGAATAAGGGCATCCCTGACGTGTACCTCGGGCGATAGGGAACAGTGGCGTAACCAGAGTTCTGGGCGCCCGGGGCAGAAGGTTGTTACGCCACTGATAGGGAATGCCGGTGACGTACACCCCAGTTATTTCACCTGAGCCGTAGGATTAGAATAAGGGGTATGAAGCCATGCCATAAACGAGCCATGAAATCCCCATTTTCCCAGGGCGTATGTTAAATAGTCCCAGGAAATGTAGTCAAAGGCTCTCTGGATATCCAAGGATAATAAAAATCCCGGGATGCCTCTGGACATAAAGTGACATTAAACCCTTAGATTTTTTAACATAAACCAATACTATAATGTGTGCCTCACTGTAATCCATGGTTGTTTCCCTTCTCTTTGCTGCTCTTCCTTTTAAATCTGTATCTGTTCTCATGCTGGGCAGAACTTCTGTTTTGCAGCAGACTGCCTTGTCTCAGGAATGGATACACGGTGTCTGTGTATAAGATTGAATAGGCTTGTAACCTGACCCAGCACTACAGGAAGAGGCCCGGAGCTGAAAAGGGAAGTTCTCCCCAAGCATGAGAAGACATGAGGATTTAAAAGGAAGAGCAGCAAAGAGAAGGGAAACAACCATGGATTACAGTGAGGCACACATTATAGTATTGGTTTATGTTAAAAAATCTGAGGGTTTAATGCCACTTTAAGTATATCAATAACATGTACAATTTTCCGAACATTGTGGCTAGCCTGTCGCCTTGGGATAAATCCCACCTGATCTCCATGTATAAGCGTGGGTAAAAAGGTGTTGATGCGTGTGGCCAAAATTTTTGTTAGTATTTTTATGTCAATGTTTAAAAGCGATATCGAGCGATAGTTGTTAGGATCCAAAGGATCCTTATCAGGTTTCGGGACCATGGCAATATATGCCAGGGGCGAGGACGAGTGTAGTGCTAGGTCAGTTTTAAGTGAGTTATATAAAGTAGTTAACCTGGGGGATAGAATGGGAGCCAGTTTCTTATAATAGAGGGCCAAAAAGCCATCCGGATCCGGTGCTTTGGAGGGTTTCAGCTGTTTAATTGCGGTAAGAACTTCCTCCTCCTGAACATCAGAATTCAAGAGTTCTATATCATCTCGATCAATCTGTGGGAGAGTAAGATTGGCAAACAGCTCCTCAGCAGTGGAGTTCCGGAAGGCCTGTCGGTCAGCATAGAGGGTTTTCAAATTATCAGTGAAGAGTTCCAAGATCTTAACTGGGTTGGCCGTCACAGTACCCAGAGAGTTTCGCAGGCGGATTGGGGCCGCATGGGAAGGCAATGTATTCAGTTTCTTCGCTAACAGGGAACCAGGTTTGTTAGCTCTAGAGTAAAACTTGTGCTTGGACCACCGCAGGCGTTTTTCTGACTGCTGGTCCAGTAGCAAGTTTAACTCGGTTCTCACAGAGGACAGCTGAGCATATGTTTTACGGTCATATTTATTTTTCAGGGAGCAATCGAGACGTACCAGGCTCTCCTGCAGAGCATCAATTTTCCGTAAACGTTCTCGCTTTTTACGAGTAGCTAGCTCGATCAGATGTCCTCTCATGGTAACCTTATGAGCTTCCCATAAACTCACCGGGGAAGTGACTGAACCCTCGTTAACTTCAAAATATTGGCGAGCACAGCTCTCAATGTACGGCAAATTATCAATGGTAGAAAGAAGGGAGTCATTGATTCGCCAGTGGTTGTGTCTGGGTCTATTACCTTCCAGGTCAAATTGCACTAAATTGGGGGCATGATCAGACCAAGGGGTAGCCTTAATAGTCGCTTTGGAGAATGAAGGTAGAAATTGTTGATTAGTGAAGACATGATCTATTCTACTGTGAATTTGGTGGGGGTTGGAGAAAAATGTATAATGCTTTGTTACGGGGTTCAGTTCCCGCCACACATCCACTAGGTGGTTATCACTCAGCATCGTAGATAATAGGAGATTGTCTGAGGTTGAGGGTCGGTCCATATGCAGGGTTCCGACTTTTATTGTTTTGTCTTGGTCAGGGTTGGTCACTAGATTAGTGTCTGCCGGTTAATAGAAGCAGACCTCTAGCGTGACATTTAATTACTTGGAATAAGTGGGAGAGAAACCGAAGTTGGTGGGTGTTAGGAGTACAGTAAGAAATAATGGTGACGTCAACGTCTAGTATCGTCCCCAGGAGGATAATATAGCGACCCGTAGGGTCCTCTATTTGTTTGTCACAAATAAAGGGGAAGGATTTACTGAAAGCAACCAACACACCACGTTTCTTTTCGTTGAAGTTTGCGCAATAGAACTGGGGATAATGTTTATGGAGGTATTTCGGGCAGGATGCAGTGGCAAATTTAGTCTCCTGTAGGCATACTATATCCGCATGACAAGAGGAGTAGTAATTAAATGCTTTATTGTGTTTGGAGGGGGAGTTCAGGCCTTGTACATTATGGGAGATCGGAGAGATTTCCTTTCACTTTCTGTGTCTACATGACAGAAATAAATGGAAATCTCTCCAATGGGACTCAGATGAGCAAAACATTTTATAGGGGTTTTAACCATGTTCTACTCTATCAAAAATAAAATGATATTGCTTAGGTATACTTTATAGAGAGGGTTTTAATGAATGACATTATTACACTGAATTTAATGACATAGTTATTTTACATGAGAAACAGTTATTATTGGATTTCTTTGCTATTTTTGCTGCAAACATTTGCTTACTTGTCCAGAAGCTATACATTACAACTGAGAAAACATACATTCAACCAGATTTCAGATATTCTGGTAAATGATCTAACCTTGCGTTTTCGGTCCAGCTCATTCAGTTGCACTTGCACCTCCTGCGTCTTCAACTTGATGTAATTATCTTGGAGTTTTCCAGACTGTACTAAGAAAAACAGATAAAGAGAGGATATGTTTAAGTTAGATGCCACAGCATTATCTGTCCAGCAGTTACAAAACCTTATACCTCCCTATATAGCGGATCGCATAGAACACCTTTATGCAACTTAAAGTCCATTTCCACCTTTGTAAGTAATTAGCATTTATTCTGGTAATGAAGAGGTGCAGTGATGATGTATACATGTGCACATTTTTATGACTCACATTTCAGGCTTTCCCCAATTTTTAATGAACTTTTAATTAGGCCTGAAATTAAAAATTTTCTCCACAGAAAAATCAGTCAGACACTAGGGTCGGATTGTAATGAAGCTGTAAACAGCTCACCCCCTCCCTTTTATTAATTGAAACACGATCAGTAAACACCAGCTCTGCCTTTGCACACAATACACTGTCCGGGGAGGGGGAAGGGGAGGAATGCCACTATCAATACAAACAGAGCTTGCAAAACACAGAGGCATTTCCAAGAGAATATGAAGAGGAAAGCTAACAAAAGATTAAAGTTTCCATTTTCATAGAGATCAACTGCATATGCTTGCTTCATATACACTTGGTGTTCATTGCTGGCATATGTTTAAGAAAAAAAAAAAACCTCTGCATAGGGGGAAATGGGCTTTAAAGTGAACCTATGCTTTTCCTATGGAGGAAAAAGCATCACATTCACTTTTTCCTCCTCCCCGGCAGCATATACTTACCTTCTCTTCAGTCCCACATTGTTCAGCTCCCTGGAGCAATGCAAAGCTCTGTGTAAGCCACTGCATTCATAGCTTACATGTAGCTATAGAATCCGCATGCAACAGTGCTGATTGGCCTGACCTAGTTACATGGATTCAGTCACAAGCTCTGCCATACCTGGAAGTATTTCCTTCTTCTCTCACTGCTGAACAGAGCAGAGGGAGAGTAAATGAAAGGTGAATATAAACAGGGACAAATATAAACTGTTGCTGTGCCCTAAATAAATTGTCAAAGCATATGTAGATATCCCGTTGCTGAGCTATCCTAAAACAAATTAATAAAAAACCTGAAAAGGTTTAGCTTTTAACAAGAATTTTGATTGACTAAAAGTCAGAAAACTGCCAGCTAACTTAAAAGGATACCTATGAGGTGAGTGATTTTCACTCAACCTCATAGTTCGAGCCGACGTGTGTCAATGAATCTGTCACACGTCGGCTCAGTAGATCGGGAGGCGAGCGAACATATACCGTCGCTCGCTCACTTCTTGATCATGTCCCTGCAGAGAGCCTTGACTGTCACTCACGGCTCCCTGCAGGGATTCCCCCCCTCCCAGCTCCGATCCTCCAGCGGTGACTGATGGAACGGACGGGGAGGGGGTGGGTACAGCTGGCTCTGCCTCTAGATAGGCAAAGCAAGCTGTCAATCACACAGCTGGGTGGATCTCGACAGTAATGTTGGGGAACCGTCCCGGCTGCGGCGGTCTCAGTATACCGCAAGCTGTAGCTCGCGGTATACTGAGCTTTGGGTCATGGGAGGATGCTAGTTTGTGTCCTCCCGTGACCCTTACGAGAACTATGGGGAAAAACACTGACCCCATAGTTCTCCTTTAAAAGCAGGAACCTACAGATGTCTTGGTTGAGGTTTCTCCCAGAGCACTCTGGGAGTACCAAAACCAGGGCCCTTCATTATACCAACCTTGACTTCAAAGAGCAAATTTCAGACAGCAAATTAAATTAATCCATGTGATTAGAAAACAGCCCAATCTGTTTACCTTATTCAAAAGCTCAATATAATTCACTGCAGCTAGATTCCAAAGAGTACCACCTATGTGAGGTACATATGTGTACTGTGGAGCCTACTCTCTATTTCTGTTCATATGTCGCCATCCAGATTTAAATTTGCATTCCAGTTTTAAATTATATTGGTAGTTGCGATAAACATCGTACTACTGCCACTTTGATGTATCAGGCTTGTGTACACAAGGGACAACAAGGAGCATACAGTGGGTATGTTTGGGAATACCTTTGCTGCATTATGACCAAGTTAGCAAAAGGGGTTCCCAGATCACAAATAAATGGCAGCAGATGGAATGGTTCTTGTTTGTTCCACCCTCTTTCCCCAATTTCATTACTAGTCCCTAAACATTATACACACCATCACTAACCACAAGAAAAGTGTAGAAGTCAGCAATGTGTGGGCCACAGCTGACCTACTAAGATTAAGTTTCTCAGCCTCCCAGAAGTCAGGAAGAAATTTAAAATTATGTAACTACCTATAGGTATCTGACAATCTGTCAGTTCACATACCTTAAATATAACACAATAAGCACCCTATAAACAGATTTATAGCTGGACCAAGGGGTTAGGTAGTCTAAGGATGGCCATATACATGTATAGTTTTTCTCTAAACTCTCTGTTAGTGTGGATGGGGGAACCCCCCACTGTGGGGCTACTGCATTCTGACAGCGACCAATTTGCTGCTTTCAGAATACATGATGAGTAGCGGAAGCCAATTGGCTGCTGGCACTGTTAAGCTGAGAATTTTTGGACCGACTCCTTCAACAAATATCAGTTGGAGGGGTACCGACTGTGACGGACACCAGTACTCAGGATGAGTATGTCCGCCGCTGTATTCTTCCTTGCTCAGGAGATATAGCAAACCGCTGACCTTTAGCTCCCAGTTTCCCCTGTCACTGGTCAAGACTCAAGTGTAGGGTGAAACAAACTCTAATTTATTGAGCAACTGCACAAACTTTTATACAGAAAGTGATTAGATCAGAATATAAAATCACATCACATCCACCCTGCCCTCCCTGGACATTCTGTCTACACAACACCACATGGGGTCCACCTGCTAAAGTGCTCCAGACAGCCATAGCAGGAGTCTGACCAGAATGTCATTGTCATGAGCTCCTTCGGAGTACAATGGGAGATAACGAGGGGGGGTGCTGACAGTCTTTTCATTACCAGGTTGCCCAGTATAACACACTTAAAACATAACTCAACACCAATACACATTTAACTCATAAACTGATTACCATGTCGTCACATAGCTCCCCAAAGTTAAAAGATGGCAGACCCGGTGAGACCCTCTACGGTCCACTTGGGGATGTCCATGATGTTACAGTCACGCTTCCAGTTCCGTTTGCCGAGATAGTCAGCATTCGCATTGTGTTTCCCAGGCCGGTATTGGATTGTGAAATTGAACGGTTGTAGGGCCAGGCTCCACCGCAACAGCCATCCATTGGCCCCAGACACCCGGTTCAACCAAACAAGGGGGGTCTCTATAATCCTAGGTCCATAGTCGCTGGGAAGGAGGCTGGCTGCCAGCCCCCTCCAGGAGCCCAGGTCACGGTGGGTTCTGTGACATTTCTTCCCCCCCCAAAGGTAGACCTATTTTATGGGGTCCCAGTCCCCCAACTGGTCCGGACCTGCATTTGTCGGGCAGCATAAGTCCACATATTCCATCCAAAGGACGTCCTGCCTCTGCTGCTGGGGAGAGATGTCATCTGTGCCTTTCTGAAAAACATGGTGCCCCTGGAGAGAGATAAAGCCAGAATCTTCTGGACACCAAAGCCACGTGCTGGTAGAGAGGCCGGCTTCCTGTTCTCCCATGAAGGTTGGAACAGGCAACAGTGCAGGACATAGGCCAGTGGTGCTCTGCCCTGGTGTCAGCAATTCTGCTACGGAAACCACATCCTCAGTTCTGGCTTGCTGTTGGGGTGAGAGGATGGATTCCTCTTCGACCTGGATTCCAAACTGCTGCTGGGAATGAAGGACGACCACCTCCTCTTCCTGCATCCCAATTTGTTGCTGGGGAGGGAGGACAACCACCTCCTCTCCCGGAATGCTCATCTGCCGCTGGGGAGAGAGGTCGTGTAAAGGCAGGTTGTTAACCGCATGAATCGCGGCAAACTGCGCATGCGCGAGAAAGCGCGGCAAACTGCGCATGCGAGGCTACCTCTTCTCCCTGGCACTCACTATGCCACTGGGGAGAGGTCGGCTACCTCGTCTCCCTGGAACCCTGTTGCCAGCTCTTCTGCTGGGATCAGTAGTTCCTCTGCATCGGCCTGCTGTTGGGGAGAGGGGTCACCTGCCCCGGCTCCCTGTAGCTTCAGAGGTGTTGCCGGTGCTGGGCAGAGGTCAGCAGCGCTCTGCCCTGATGCCAGCTCTTCAGCTGGGACTAGTGGCTCCATGACATCTGTGGTCGCTGGGGCATGCTGTTGAGCAGTGTCGAACAGTCTTTTGTATGCCTGTTAAGCTCCCATTCTTGTGTAATAAAAAAGTCCAGATCAGTTCTCAATCCGAGCTGACGGGGGAGTTCCAACTCCCTAAAATCACGTATTTCCTCCCATCTCTACTCCTGTGCACTCCCAAATTGTGGATCCCCCTGGAGCGCCTCAAATATAAGTCCCGGGCCGCCAAAATCATAGCCCTCAGTGGGATCATTGTTCTCCAGCCATGGACACAACTGGGTGACATACCGCAGCAGCGCCCAAAACCCATCATCCAGCATCAGTTCCGTTTGGAGCAGCCAATCCAGCTCCGACAGCCATTCCTCCCGGGGCTGCTCTCCCAGGAAAGGCAAAAGTACTTAGAAGTGTACGTAGAACAATGAGTGCAGTAAATAGCATACACTGCTAACATGATGGGACCTTTAGAAGGGGATTCCCTTTTGGATCAGATACGGTGTTCACGTCAGTCCTTCCCGACATGCCTCACCGCTGTGTCTCAGTGGTTGAAGCGTTTCCGGTGCAACGCCCCCTTCCTCAGAACATCAATTCTAGCCCTGCCAGAGACTTAGGTTTAAGAATGAATGTGAGCCAATCAGAGCACATCTCTGCCTGATGTAGAGTGTGCTGACTGGTTCACTTGATATCCTCTATTAATGTGCACGACCACACGAATGCCGCTCCGATCGAGCCGGCTACGGTCTGTCAAATCTGACTCTGTCTGTCATTTTTTATTGAGGGGAGACCAAGCCTCTTATTGTTGGTCTAAAATTTTCTTGCAGCCAAAAACTCTAATCTACTAGAAAGCTAAAGTCAAAAATAGCATTTATTTCATGCAGTATGCTGAGGGTCCCACTGCATGGGTAAGTTCAACAGTAGCCCAAAAGTGTAGCTTTAAAATAGAAACAAAAAAGATTTGTAGTTCAATACACCAATGCAGAAACACTTTGCCGTTTTCATAAATATCTCAACAATTTTTTCTCATCACAAAAAATAAAATATACTCACATTCTCTCTGGAACATTTGATATCTGAAGTCAAACATTTCCTGCTGTTCTTCTAGAAACTTCACTTCCTGATCAACAGACTGCAAACAATGCAAACATTTAGATAACGTATTAGCAAAAATCCTTATAACATAATGTAGAACTACAAAATACTGTAGTATTTTCCGCAAAATCCGATTCACAAAACCAGAAAAATGTTGAAGAACCTGGCCCACCCCCTCCAGCACCACAGATTCAGCTTTGGAGCTGGTAATATGTATATACCAGATCCAATCCTTTACTAATGCATTTTCAATGCTCAATTTTTTTGTCCATTGTTGCTGCCAATAATTGTTTGGGTGCTTTAGGGGTAAACGTAGCTTACTTTAGGGGTTTAAGAATTAAAAACTTATTCCATCCTTGTCCCCTCTCGTGCACTTTGTCAACATGCATTATCATGCGTTGCATAAAGGCAGCCCATTAACTTTAAATGGGCTGCCTACACACCTGAGTGGATAGGAAATTGTACCTGCACCATTTTTCCCCAACAGTACACCAACAACGCATGGTAGTGAGTTACCATGTGTTCGGTGCATTTTAATGCAAGTGCGCTCTGTGTGCAATGCAAAATAAATGACACCAAAACACACATAACGTGTGAAGCCAGCCTTAGCCTTTCCAGGTAGGAGTTAAGCCACTGGAGTTAAGTGCTCACTGTTAGGGGAAAGTTAACAGTTAATGTTCCTGGACATAAAGCTAAAATCTTAGGCAATCTCGTAAATATACTACCTGTTTCCTCCAAAGATAACTTTATCGGGAGGTGAGCGAACACATACCGGCGTTTGCTAACCTCTCGATCCTGTCACGGCTCCCTGCCGTGACATGGGAGGGGCTGGATTATGTTATCCTAAGGAGAATATGGGGAAAAGCCTTAACACCATAGTTCTTCTTTAAGAATGACAGCCCTCCTCTTCTACCAAAATGGTCACCACTATTAAGAGGCACCGTGTGCAGTAAGGTATAGTAATAAAATACATATATGGTAAGATTACATGCAGTTTGGGATAGGCTATTGTCAATGCATCCAGTGACAATCATCTATTCCACACTGCATGTAATCGTACCATATATGATTACATGTGGACTACTGTTGACACATGTGGCCACTGTGACCCTATCACTTACTTCAATTGGTACAGCAGCCACAACTCAACAGAACACCTGAGATTACTGCTGCAGTAATCCATAGGTTCTTGCCGCAGAAATCTCAGAACCTCCCGTGTGAACCAGGCCTTAGTGCGTGCATGGCATTCAGCTTTAAATCCTCTCTTTCTTTAAAGTACCAGAGGATATCATGACATAACATGCCGGTTTGTGACCAGTTTTAAGCTATGTGCCACTCTATACTCTTTTCTTTAGTTCATTGGGGAAGAGCTGCTGGTGTGATACTGCAACGTTTTACTCCGTTGGGAATTCTACCCCCAGTGGATATTCCAAATAAATTGTGACCATACCATATATATGGTCAACAGTAAAAGTTGAGCCTCTGCTCAGACAAGTGGGAGTCACAGTGGTGGTTATGATTTACTTGTTAACAATTGCACCCAAAAGAATAAAGTTTACTCACCTGGATGCGCTCTTTTACTTTCCTAACTCGTTGGTCAATTTCATATTGCTTTCCTGTCTCCACTGGTTCTTGCACCACTTGCCCATTTTGAATCTATGAGGACCACAAAGACCATCAGTTTGAAAGTGTTGATCCAAGATCTATTTTACATTGAGGCTCTACTAATATGATATTCTTGCCTTGTATTATGTCTTATGTACAATATATTGCCAAAAGTATTGGGACGCCTGCCTTTACACGCACATGTACTTTAATGGCATCCCAGTCTTAGTCCGCAGGGTTCAATATTGAGTTGGCCCACCCTTTGCAGCTATAACAGCTTCAACTCATCTGGGAAGGCTGTCCACAAGGTTTAGGAGTGTGTCTATGGGAATGTTTCACCATTCTTCCAGAAGCGCATTTGTGAGGTCAGGTACTGATGTTGGACGAGAAGGCTTGGCTCGCAGTCTCCGCTCTAATTCATCCCAAAGGTGTTCTATCGGGTTGAGGTCAGGACTCTGTGCAGGCCAGTGAAGTTCCTCCACCCCAAACTCGCTCAGTCATGTCTTTATGGACCTTGCTTTGTACACAGGTGCAGAGTCATGTTGAAACAGGAAGGCGCCATCCCCAAACTGTTCCCACAAAGTTGGGAGCATGAAATTGTCCAAAATGTCTTGGTATGCTGATGCTTTAAGAGTTCCCTTCACAGGAACTAAAGGGCCAAGCCCAACCCCTGAAACCCCACACCATAATCCCCCCTCCATCAAACTTTACACTTGGCACAATGCAGTCAGGCAAGTACTGTTCTCCTGGCAACCACCAAACCCAGACACGTCAGATTGCCAGACAGGGAAGTGTGATTCATCACTCCAGAGAACACGTCTCCACTTCTCTAGAGTCCAGTGGCGGCGTGCATTACACCACTGCATCCGACGCTTTGCATTGCACTTGGTGATGTAAGGCTTGGATGCAGATGCTCGGCCATGGAAACCCATTCCATGAAGCTCTCTGCACACTGTTGTTGTGCCAATCTGAAGGCCACACGAAGTTTGGAGGTCTGTAGTTATTAACTCTGCAGACAGTTGGTGACTTCTGCGCACTGTGCGCTTCAGCATGCGCTGACCACGCTCTGTCATTTTACGTGGCCTACCACTTCATAGCTGAGTTGCTGTTCCCAGTTGCTTCCACTTTGTTATAATACCACTAACAGGTGACCATGGAATATTTAGTAGCAAGGAAATGTCACGGATGGACTTATTGCACAGGTGGCAACCTATCACGGTACCACGCTTGAATTCATTGAGCTCCTAAGTGTGACCCATTCTTTCACAAATGTTTGTAGAAGCAGTCTGCATTCCTAGATGCTTGATTTTATACACCTGTGGCCATGGAGGTAATTGGAACACCTGAATCCAATGATTTGGAGGGGTGTCCCAATACTTTTGGCAATTTATCGTACATTCACATTAAGAAACAGATGGTGACACATAGAAAATCCTCCAAAAAAAACGCCATTTTATAGCGTATTTCAAAACTGTTGTCAGCTTTCAGGACTGAAATCATGACCGTGCCATCAAAGTGGATGTGAAGGTCAACTCCAGACTGCCTCCAGGTAAGCCTGCCAATAATGTACACATTTAATTTATACAATTACACTTAAGAATTCAAGAGAATATTTTATTAATGTATGCAACAAAAACCTCTGATTCTAATCAAAAAGATTTAAAAAAAAGTTCAGTTAGGTATTTTATGCTGACTAGCTAGACTGAGTGCTGGGGGATTCTTGTTCATTGTTCTCCCTATCCATGTGCACTCGTAACTTTTGAAGACTCTTTTGTGGTAATTTGAGTCTGCAACTGCTAAAAACTGCTAAACTACAAAAAAAAAATAGTAACTCTGTGGCTATCTGTATGTAATCAGATTATCAGAGAAAATGATACATACAGTAATACCTTGGTTTACAAGTAACTTGGTTTGACAGTGTTTTGCAAGACAAGCAAACATTTCTGAAAAATGTTGCCTTGATATACAAGCAATGTCTTGCAACAAGAGCAAAATTCTGTAGAAAAGCACCACCGAATAAGGCTGTAGCAGTGCTAGCGATGAGTCGGTTTAAACGACAACGCAATGTCACATTGGATAAATTCCTTGTTAAGGTTTCACGAAATGAAAAAGATTCCATTGAGCCAAGAGATAGCAGTGATTTCGTTAGTGATAGTGAAAGGCACCGGTAATCGGTTTATTTTTCTTTATATTTCGTACAGTATTTTATTACAGTACAGTATTGTAATCATTTTTATATGAATATTTTTGGGTTGTAGAACGAATCATCTGAATTTCCATTATTAACCTATGGGGAAATTCGCTTTGATATACAAGGGCTTTGGATTACAAGCATGCTTCCGGAACGAATTATGCTCGTAAACCAAGGTATTACTGTATAAACAACATTCCTAATTGGAGATTACAAGTAGCACAAGTTGTTTTCTACCCACAGAAATTCTTATTCCATTTGAAAGCTAAACTGGTTGAAACTGCAATAACTGGTTATCGTGGACATCAATGATGTACAATAACTATTCTCACAAAACAAGCTTTTAACAGTTTTTGAAGAGTGAAAGACAGCAGATTTTTCACTGTAGCACTACAGACCATTTCATTAAATGGTTATGGTTCGCCAAGAAAAATAAATAAATACACCCGTGTGATTTTCAGTGACCCTGGGCCTCACTACAATATCAAATGTAATGCCAAACCTCCATTTCTTGAGATTCTACGAGAATTTGTTTCTCCTGCTGCAGAATATCACGGATTTGTTCGGCCAGGTTCTTTGGCTTTTCCTGGTATCGGCTCTGCAATGAAATGGTGAAAAACAAATGAGTGGTAAAGTGGAATTAAAGAAGAAATTTTTTTTTTTCATTTTGGCTAGAGTAAGGTATTGTGGAAAACCCTGTATTTTTCCAACTGTTTCTCATTGGGGAGATTTCCCGTCACTTCTTGTTTTGCAGACAACAGAAAGTGAGAGCAAGTCTCTCATAAGTGAGATAAATCCCATCCGAAACAGTTGTCAAGGCAACGAGTGTCTGCATTGGAATAGTTTCCTTCTATTCCTGTTCTGCAGGCAACACAAAACGTTGGTTTGACCCTCACTTTCAGCCCCAGTGACAATGGTCTCCTGGACAAATTGAAAGGCTTAATCTCCCTTACATGAATACAGACAGCAATAAAAACCTGACAGAGGTTCGAACCACTCATTGCTCAAAACTACCGAGCAACCAAAACTAAAAATAAACATTTTAGCTTTAGATACACTTCAAACTCTGATTTAATGTTTTGGATACACTTCTAACCTTCTTCGAAACTGTAAAACCTGGACAGAAAAAATATATTTTCTACAACCCCTATTCCAAAATGTTTGGACACTTTGTAAAATCTACATAAAAACAGAATGCAATGATTTGTAAATCTCATAAACCCAAATTGTATTCACAATAGAAAACATATCAAATGTTTAAACTGAGAAAATGGACCATTTTAGAAAAAAATTGGTAATTTTGAAATTGATGGCAGCAACAAGTCTCCAAAAAGTTGGGTCAGGGCAACAAAAAGCTGAAAAGTAAGTGGTACTAACAAGGAAGAGCTGGAAGAACATTTTGCAATGAATTAGGTTAATTGGCAACAGGTCAGTAACATGATTGGGTATAAAAAGAGCATCTTAGGCTGGGTTCACACCTGGGTGTTTTTCAGCGCTGAAAAACACTCAGCAAGTGAAATCCTATTGAGTGCTATGGGCATGGTTCCCACCTGGGTGGGAAACGCCCTACGCCCCAAATAGTACAGGAGCTTTTGTGGGGCGTATTTCAGCGTGTATCCATTGATATTCCCGAGAGTGGCTCGGGGTTAACAAAGCGGTAGCCCCGAGACACACTCGGGAATACAGCGTAGGTCTTACCTTGTCCACGATCCCCGCTGTGTCCTCCGGCCGCTGCCGCCTTCCGGGTTCCGTCCCTTGCAAGCGTCCGTGTCGCAGGGGGGTGGAACCGGCGGGAAGTATAAAAAGTTGCAAGAAAACAACGAAAAAAAGATAGAGAAAAAAGGGGGGAAAAAAATCATACCGCCAGGGAGGTTAAAAACAACAAGCGTCGAACGCTCTTTTTCAGTGAACAAAAAAACGTGTTTTGAAACGTGCTAAAAACGTGCTGAAAAAACGAGGATAAAACGCTCCTATTTGGAACGCCCAGGTGTGAACCCAGCCTTAGAGAGTCAGAGTGTCTCAGAAGTAAAGATGGGCAGAGGTTCACCAATCTGTGAAAAGACAATCTGTGAGAGTCTAAAAATGGACAATTTAAGAAGAATGTTCCTCAGGGCCAGCGCACACCCAGGCGATTTATCACGCGGTTTGGGTCCCAAAGACATCTCTATACATTGAAAACCGTGCAACAACCGCGAGGTTTTCAATGAACAGTCGTGCGATCAAAAACAGACGACAATCGCGCAAAAAAGAGGGGAGGGACCTTCTGGCTTGTTATCAGCACTCAAATGCTGATAACAAGCCAGATGCATTCAAATGCCTGCATCTCTGATGGAATAGGGGTGCATTAGTGCATATGGAATGTGCAGCTTGCACATGGGGAAAGGAACCATCAATGCTGAAAGATATATACAGGTTTTAGAGCAGCATATGCTCCCATCCAGACGTCTTTTTCAGGGAAGGCCTTGCATATTGCAGCAGGACAATGCTTAACCGCATTAGGGCTGCAGCTTACGATTATTTTCATAATCGATTAGTTAGCCGATTATTAAGTTCGATTAATCGGATTTTTTTTTTTTTAAAGGCTCCAGTGATGGACTACTAGTTTGTATTGAGATTGTAGTCTATCACGGGAGCAAGCTTGGAGTGGTGGAAGTAAAAAAAAGTGTGGTGTGCAATATAGTACATTATACAGCGGCCCAATGCAGAATACCAGCAGCTATAGAGGAATACAGCAAATCGCAGCAATAGTAATTATACTATAATGTATTATTGCTGGGATCTGATGTACTCCTCTATTGCTGCTAGTATTGGAGAGGACGAGTATGATGCAGGAATAGAGAGGACAGGTATGATGCAGGAATAGGGAGGATGGGTATGATGCAGGAATAGAGAGGACGGGTATGATGCAGGAATAGAGAGGACGGGTATGATGCAGGAATAGAGAGGACGGGTATGATGGTGAAATGGGGTGCAGAGGACGGGTATGATGATGGAATGGAGAGGATGGGTATGATGGTGGGATGGGTGCAGGGATGGAGAGGACGGGTATGATGGTGGAATGGAGTGCAGAGATGGAGAGGATGGGTATAATGATTGGAGTGCAGAGGACAGGTATGATGATAGAATGGAGAGGATGGGTATGATGGTGGGATGGGGTGCAGAGGACGGGGATGATGGTGGAATGGGGTGCAGGGATGGAGAGGACGGGTATGATCGTGGAATGGAGTGCAGAGATGGAGAGGATGGGTATAATGATTGGAGTGCAGAGGACAGGTATGATGATAGAATGGAGAGGATGGGGAGGATGGTGGGATGGGGTGCAGAGGACGGGGATGATGGTGGAATGGGGTGCAGGGATGGAGAGGACGGGTATGATCGTGGAATGGAGTGCAGAGATGGAGAGGATGGGTATAATGATTGGAGTGCAGAGGACAGGTATGATGATAGAATGGAGAGGATGGGGAGGATGGTGGGATGGGGTGCAGAGGACGGGGATGATGGTGGAATGGGGTGCAGGGATGGAGAGGACGGGTATGATCGTGGAATGGAGTGCAGAGATGGAGAGGATGGGTATAATGATTGGAGTGCAGAGGACAGGTATGATGATAGAATGGAGAGGATGGGGAGGATGGTGGGATGGGGTGCAGAGGACGGGGATGATGGTGGAATGGGGTGCAGGGATGGAGAGGACGGGTATGATCGTGGAATGGAGTGCAGAGATGGAGAGGATGGGTATAATGATTGGAGTGCAGAGGACAGGTATGATGATAGAATGGAGAGGATGGGTATGATGGTGGGATAGGGTGCAGAGGATGGGTATGATGGTGAAAGGTTTAGCCTGGATGCCGGCTCGTCCCCAGCCATAGTCTCCGTCCCCTGGCTGACACCCGTCGTGCTCGCATCTCCGAAACCCGTCATGTGATCGGCCCAGCTAGATGTGAGGAGCGCCGGGATTGGAGGAGAGCCGGGAGCTAGGCCGCCGCGGCGTGCGCGCTCGGTGGGCGTGGCGTGCACAGCGTGTGGGGCTTGAGTGTGGAGCCGCGAACAGGCAATGTAATAGATAGCCGAATAATCGACGATCGAAAATGTTGGTAACGTTTTCGATCGTCGATTTTAATCGACTAAATCGAATCGTTGTTGCAGCTCTAAACCGCATACTGCATCTATGACAACAGCATGGCTTTATAGTAGAAGAGTCTGGATTAGACTTTTTTTAGGAGGATGAAAAAGATGTGTATGTAAATTTTATTTTACTGGACACAGTTAAAAATCAGAAGACAAAGCAGAGCTCAGTCCTAATGCTGGCTTTACACTGTATATGTAAAGGGCCAGATTATTCGCAAACGATGCACAGTCCAACAACTGTGCCTCCCTTGGGCCCTGCGTTGCTCCACCGACAAGACATTAAAGTGACATTAAACCCTCAGATTTTTTAACATAAAACAATACTGTAATGTGTGCCTTACTGTAATCCATGGTAGTTTCCCTTCTCTTTGCTGCTCTTCCTTTTAAATCTGTATCTGTTCTCATGCTGGGCAGAACTTCTGTTTTGCAGCAGACTGCCTTGTCTCTGGAATGGATACATGGTGTCTGTGTGCAGGTTCACAACCTGAGCCAGCACTACAGGAAGAGGCACTCCCGCAGCATGAGAAGACATGAGGATTTAAAAGGAAGAGCAGCAAAGAGAAGGGAAACAACCATGGATTACAGTAAGGTACACATTACAGTATTGTTTTATGTTAAAAGATCTGAGGGTCTAATGTCACTTTAAGGCTCAATAAGTGGTGAAAGTGAAATTAAAGTTTGGAAATTGATACACTTTCTTCAATTGTCTTTCAGGTCAGCCCCGGGCCAGACCTGTAATAAATAAAAATGTTTTCATTGTATTTTAAATCAAGCAACAGACTGAGGCCTTCTATTTAGAATATGGGAAATCACTTCTTTTATAACTGATAATTAAGAATAAGACGTCTATGAGGCTTATTTACCTTCGTCTTCTGTCCAGGAGACAAAAGCAGATGAGCCGTGTAGAAGTCTATGGGGTTGTGATGCCACTGCGCAGCAAGGAGAGAAAGGACTTGCAGTATGACATGTAAATAAACAATGGAGGTCATGCCAGTCCGATCCTGGTAAGTATACATCTGTAGAAGGGGAAGGTGGCATCAGTTAGCTAAGGGCAAAAAGGATAAGTGCAGTGGCGGAACTACCGCCGGTGCAGGCGGTGCGGATGCACCAGGGCCTTGGGGCTCTAGGGGGCCCAGCGCCGGATCGGTACCCAGCGGCCAGCAGGCCCCCCATCTCTGCGCCGAGAGTGTCGGATCATCCGTCCATCCGACACTCCCGGCGCAGAGATGGGGGGCCAGCCGGCCGCCGGATACTGATGGTTGCCATGGCAAGGTGCACTCTGTTTTAAAGTGCACTTATCCTTTAATGGCATGCTAGCTAGGGGAAAAACTCTATGGTACTCATTAAACTGATGCCCTAAGCATGTGCTTATTTCAATTAATGGTTAATCCAGCCCTGCCCAGTTGTATGCAACAAAGCAACTCACCATTGTAAGTCATAGGCTTTTAAAAGACGTCAACAAGCAACCTTGAACTTCAGTTTACAATATATCACATACGACTATGATAAAAGCAGCCTATACAACTCAGGCATCTACCTGTTTTATGTATGCAAAAATGATTACTGGTAAAAAAAAAGTGCTATAGGCAAAGTAAATGTAAACACTATCAGGGTTATTCACAAAATAATGAAGAGTTTGGAGAAGTGAACAATCTAGGACAACATAGATGATTTGTAAAAATTCACCAATTCAGCTCACTTTCCAGTTCAGCTATGTTGTCCTAGATTGTTCACTTCTCCTGCCTTCTCCTAACTCTTCACTTTTTTTGTGAATAACCTGTTTTTTTGTTGCATTTCATTGCTAGTGATCCCCTGTAACCTGTTTGCCACAACTTCCTGTCTAAATGCATGCAGTCCACAAATAGCATTTTGGCATTTTTTTAGGGCAGGATTCCTGATACTGAAAACAGTAGGGCTGCAACAACTAATCGACATAATCGATTATTGAAAAAGTTGTCAACTTTTTCAATAATCGATTAATCGGCTTCCGATCAGTTGGCCCCGTTCACAGCTCCACACCCTGTGCGCCGCACCTCCTCATACACTGTACCTGCCTATTGTGTATTGAAACTGTATGTCCATTGGAAGCCCATGTGACAGGGTGCCAACTGGGAGAAAGGAACAGGGTGTTGTCACCCTGTAACAGGAAGTGCCTGAACAAGGACCTTCATGGCACGGCCACCAGGTATTTTAGTTAAAGCTTCAGATTTCAAAATATTAAAAATGAAAATCAATTTACACTGCTTTCAATTCATTATTGAAAAATAAATGTAATAATGATTAAAGAGCTGCAATAATCTGTATTTTGATATCTGCCATTAAAACTCTCAAACTATTTTTCAATAATGAATCTAGATCAAACAAACATACATTGCCCAGCAAAGCATTGCTTTTCATTTTTACCCAAGCACTTAGGCTAGGTTCAGACCTAAGCGACACCTGGGACGCGTGTCCTGGGACCGCGCAATCATGTGCTAGAGCACACAGCGTTGCCACACGGCCCCATTGATTTCAATGGGGTTATATCCGCGTGGGAAAACCTAAAAACCTTTTCGGGAAACCCAGCGCGACTAGGGTGCCATTAAAAAATAATGACACCTCCAGCGCGCTCAGCTGTGGTGGGCCGTGACCGTGCGGAAATCCACGTGGTTTTGTGCATGATTGCTGCACGGTCAGGAGTCGACCAGGTGTGAACCTAGACTGACAGTCATCATGTTTCTGAAAGCTGGAAAGATAAGTAGAGGAATGCTAGATATCAGCTTGTTATCTTGTTATTTGTTTACCTGGTTCAGATTTTAGGGCTTAAAGGTTCAGTTGAGAGCTGAAATAAGCACAATAACAACCTTGACAGTTGTCATGCCTTAAAAGTAACTGCTTTAGGAGACAAAAATTGGTGGGTAAAGAGGTAAACCTCTTTAAAAACAAAGTACCAATGGCTACCTGCATATCATGCTTGAACCTGCGAAAGTTGTACGTTTGTAGTATGTTCTGTTCCATGCTAAAATAACTATATTGCATGTCCAGATGTTCCAACAGATTCTGGAAGTGGACACTGGCCAACGACTGATCTCTTGCTGCCAGCTTCCTGAAAATGAAATAGAATGAGACAAACATGTTCTACGTCATACCACTTGCAGATAAGGGTTCCTCCCTTCCTAGACAGATGTCAACAGGTGTCCCTATTGGAAATTTTCCTTTCACATCTTGTTTTGGTGAAAATTGAAAGTTTTGGACATTCCATCCTCTTTTGTCTCAGTGAAAATGGTAATCGGAATACAAAAAAACAGACGGTAAATCTTCTCAGCAGAGACACAGACAGCGATAGACTCTAACTGGGATCTAAGGGCTAGTTCACACCAGCAACAGTGTGCCCCAGCCCGATTGGTGCCAGGATGCACTGGATCTCATTCCGGCCTGCTCACTTTGTTTTGGGGTGGGTGGGGGCGTGGCGGTGCATTGAAGTCAATGGCAGCGCAGCCACGCCTTCCGGCCTCAATGCGATCACCCGCAATGCAATGCGTGGCACATCAGTGCCTGCGTTCCGGTCTGGTGCTTGCAGCATTTTTTTCTGACTGCACCGGACTGGAACGCAGGCATTGATGTGCAACGCATTCCGGTGCGGGCGATCACATTGCGGCCGAGGGTGTGACTGCGGTGCCATTGACTTCAATGCACCGCCACGCCCCCTCACACCCTAACACAAAGTGAGCTGGCCGGAATGCACTGTGGCTGGTGTGAACTAGCCCTAAATCTTTCCCACTGCATCCGAAACAGAAAATAATTATGTCTATACATGGACTTTAAAAAAGAACTTAAAGGCCAAGTCCACCTTTTAAAAAAAAATAGATGCACAATTCTTCATTAAAGAAAAAAATGTGCAGTGATTATTTTTCTTGCATAGCAGCCAGTAAAGCATTGCAACCGTGTATAGTGGGCGCAATGTTCTAGCTTCTGCGGGCCCTTCCTCCCTTCCATGTTCGTACCGAGGTACAGACATTCAGTAATATGGATGGGAGGAAGTGCCAATGGACTGCAAGTGCATTGACGTCACTGCAATTGTATTCCAGAACTACCATGCTGCGGTGGCAGATGAGACTTTTAGTTTCTCCATTCAAGGCTTTTGTGGGGATTGGGGGGGGATTGCGATCTGAACATTTTTTATGTTACATCTTGAGTATGGGTGTAACATAAAACATTGCCGGAAAGGTAAACTTAGGCTTCATTCACTCTATACTGTGAAACTACATTTAGGAATTGCTGCGGCAGGAATCCCAAATATGCTGTTAGAAGTGGACGCTGTCACTCACAAGGTAATGATCGAGTGACAGCAGTCGCATTTGAAAGCATGATTCCGCATGTAATCGTGTGTGATACAAATACATGTGGTTAGGAATAGATCACTGTTCCTGGATGCCCGGTAGATGAATCCATGGACAATGAGCTATTCCTAACCGCATGTAATCGTATCACATACAATGCGATTACATATGGAGTGCCGCTTTCATGCCGATTGATAACTTGAACAGGTGACAGCAGCCGCTTGCAAATGGCATATTTGGGATCCCTGTCACAGGAATTCGTAGGTTCCTGCCGTAGGGATCCCTAATTGCACATGCACAGCCTTTGCAAAAATGTCACCGGCTCACATGCTCTGCCTTATACTCACAAGTGCCGCCACCCCCCACCCCATCCATTCCTATGGCTTAGTCCATATTCATCTGCCCCCACTGTAAAAAACACTTTTGGGTGGACTGGCCCATCAAGAAAAATGTTGCTAAAAGGAATGTTCTGGTGAATTGCTATAGTTTACCATACAGTTATAGGTATACAGTACATAGAATGTAATGGAAGTTCACACACTGAGGCAACACAGCTGCAGTCATGGACCCTGTAGAGTTCTGTAACTGTAGGATGCTACAGGTATGTGTTCATTTTGATACACATAGACAGAGATTTTTACCATTAACCTACTAAATTAATAAAAAAAAAAAAAACATGGATTTAAAGAGAAGTTCACACAAAAAGTAAGCAAGTGTGCATGTGCACATGTATATCTTGTAAGGCAATATACATATATATCCTATCCAGTGCAATGACAGGCTACCATTGTTGTTAATAGGCCCACTTCACACCAATGCACTGCATTTATGTGCTCTGGATGATAATGGAACACGCTGCATTTAAGCACAGCACAATGCACTACAACGTGTTACCATGCAGGTTAAGAAAAACAAAACAGAATATTTTGGCTTTTGTAGTGCAAAAAAAAAAAGCACATTAATGCAATGCATTAAACATGTCAATGCACATCAATAGTGTATTTAATAAGCAACAACACAAGCAAAATGAAATGCATGTGGTGTGAATCCAGCCTACAGAGACTCGAGGGCACACATAGAAAAATACTGCAGCTGCAAATGCTGGCAAGGAATGCCAAAAGTCCTTATCTACAGCCTCCATTTCCCCCCCCAAAAAATGGTTCACTTTAAAATGACACTAAACTCAGGCGTTAAATCTTAAACATGCATTTACGCACCTTAACTATTAACATAATTAAGCTTTTAAGATACACAAATAAGATACATTTTTGTGTATCACTCGGTTGTAGATCCTCAAATCATCTCTGAATTGGTGCTGACACTGTCCTTCCTTCTGGAGGGTGGCTACTTTTGTTCCCCATGGTCCCTGTGTGTGTTATAAAGTATCCACCGCTCCAAGCTCACTCCCGTGGTGGGCTACAAGCTCAATACAAAATAAGTAAACTAAATGTGAGAAGGTAGTCCACCACGGGAGTGAGCTTGGAGCGGTGACTACTTTACAGCACACACAGGGACCATGGGGAACAAAAGTAGCCACCCTCCAGAAGGAAGGACAGTGTCAGCACCAATTCAGAGATGATTTGAGGATCTACAGCCGAGTGATACACAAATAAGGTACATTTAACACCTGAGTTTAGTGTCACTTTAAACTCCCTGAGGTCTGATTATTTTATTTTTCCTTTTTTGTTCTATTTTTTTTTAACTTTTAACATTCCCGCCGGCTCTACCTCCCTGCGACGCGGACGCTCACAAGGGACGGAACCCGGATGCTGGCATCGGCCAGAGGACACAGCGGGGATCGTGGACAAGGTAAGAGGCGCTACGATGTAATACCGAGTGTGGCTCGGGGTTGCCGCTTATGGTACTGAAAATTAACCCCGAGCCACACTTGGGAATACCGCCAAGGAGGTTAATAAAGAAGTAGTTATGAGCTTATATGTCTGCCTCACCAGTCTTGTGATTCAATCCACGCTGCCAGATACTGCCGCACCTCCACAGGTAGAAGCTCCTCACTGTAGAGCCCCATGAGGTTGTCCTGGAATTGTCCAGTTAACTTTAACAGGGACTCCCATTGGCTCATGTTGTGACCCACCAAAGTGCCTTCTGCAGAGCAGTGAAATGATCTGAAAAGTAAAGTTTTATAACTATAGAAATGAATAGAGATAAAAACAATATTAAATTTTCTTCTGTTGATTACGGTTTTGTCAACTATTTTGTGTCCATGCTGAAATATTTCCCCTCCCCTCCTTTTTTTGGTAACTACTATGACGAGACAGTAAACCATAAAGATTATGTTAAGAAAGGATTAAATTAATTTTAAAAAACCTCCAACCGACTACTCTAAAATGTTACATTTCCCTCTTTCTATGCCATGCCAACTATCAAAGGGATGGGAAGTAAAGTGAATTTCCCTCGTGGGGCCACAGGTAGCAGAAAATGTTCTGAACCTTCTCCGCTGTATTGAAAACATGGCTGGAGTTCCTCTTTACGTATCCTAAAATATATTAAACTTTTAAATACCATATTTTCTCATTATTTTAGTTTTTATGCCACTGTATATTAGCCAAAAAGAAAGTGGATAACTCTTCATGTAGCCCTTTTCAATAGTTGATTGTGCCAGACTTTGGCCTTGGTATACTAAAAACGAGTTCAGCTCATTAAATATGAATTGGCTGACAACACACCGCAGGATGGCTAAAACCACACCTAACCCTTGTTTGGGATGCTGCGCGGTGCAGAGCAGGTGTGTTGCCTTCAGGTGTAAGGCGACATTCAAAATAATGGCACTCCAGCACACCAACCCACATAACGTGCGTTCTTTCTCTAAAAACACCAAGGAGAAAGAGTCAGAACTCTGAAAAGAAGTAGCTTAATATTAGAGTTAAAAGAATGTTAAATGCTGAATAAATCACTTACAATGGATGCTGCTTCTTGATGTTTAAATGTTTTAGGGGCTTATTCACTAACGAGCCAAAGGATTAAGCTGAACCTTCGGCGCTGGGAACGCATATGCTTCAGCTCGGCTGAGCTGAACACACAGCCGAAGCAGGGAGAATGGACCCTTCTCCCCGAAAAATGTCAAATGAAAAAAAAGCGTGGGGTCCCCCCAAAAGCCTACCGACCAGAACTCCCAAAATGAACAATTTGACAGGTGTTGGCCGAATGTCAACAGATAGGCGGCGCTAGCGGTGACATCACCTCAAGCTTCGCCTATCTGTTGTAATTAGGCCAGGACCTGTCAAATTGCTACTAAAAGGTCCCGGCCCAAATGACAACAAATGGGGGGAGCTAGTGGTGACATCGCTGCTGGCTCCGCCTATCTGTTGTAATTCGACCAGGATTTTTGTTTACTTTTTTTTGATTCTGTTGGCTACCACTGAGGTAGCATTCGGCTATTCACTCACTGCTGTTCAGTACCTATGAGAACGTGTTCGGCTGAACCGAAGTGAAGGGAGTCGAAGGCAGCCGATGTATGGCTGTTTTCAGCCATACATCTAGCTTGGTGACCGGGTTGGAGCTTCATCATAATGGGGGTGGTGCGTCTGCAAGATAGGGGTAGGGCTTTGGCATTTTGGGGGTGGGGCTGGGCTGCTGGGGTTGGAGGAATATCTCACCCAGAATCAAAGGTACCGCACGTCACTGCCATACAAGCAATTGGCGGCTGAATAGCTTTACCGTCACCGGCTGTTTAAAACTTTTACTGTGGTCTGCTCGCCGTACATGTACAGTGACCCGCAGTAAGGCACTTGCTGTGCGTCCGTTTATTTACAGCGGGTGGATGGCAAGTAGTTAATTACTGTGGATGGTTGGGGGGGTAAAAGAAACTGGGGGGTCGAAACCTGGAGTTGGGTCATAAAAGCAAAGAGAAGCCAGGAAATACTTTATTTTATATAGTAACCACCAATTACATGAAGCATTTGTCCTTTCCTTCAGTAAACGTGGTCTCTGTACCATTCTAATTGCCTAAGATCCCCTTTACCAGAGATGACATAACCAAAGCCTAGCTATTTTGGTCATGTGGGCAGCACTTTGTACCTTCTCTAGTAGTCCTCCATTTATTTTGCTTAGCAAAGAACTCTAGATTTAGCTGATTTACAACCATTGTGTAAATAAGAGCATACATATATTGTCAGAAAACGTTTACATTTTGAGACTTTTTTTGCTTTTTTAATTGTTATAGATCTTAATCATGGTAAACACCATTCAATTTTTTTTTGTTCAGCTTTTGGGCTACACAGCGTGGATGGAGGAATTTCCCGCTGCAGCTATTGTATTTTGACAGTCGGCCCGCTGGCTGTCAAAATACCTGAACATTGCCTGCATCTAACTGGATGTAGGTGAGTTTGGCCAACAATTTTCTGTTTGGATTCTTCGATTTTTCGGTCGGATAGATAGAGCCGCCATATGAGGTGAATTTAGTCCAGTTCATTATATACCCAGCCTTATACTATCTTTAGGCACAACAGAGAAATCACATGTACAGAAACAAGGGGTGCCAGGTTTTACCTGCTTTTATATGCCTAAGAGCTTCATGTAGTGAGGGGGGCAGGAGAGGAAGTGGAGCCATACACAATTACTTGATACTGTATTTAACTTTTCTGCATCTCAGTGACTAAAGCCATGAGGACTCCAAAGTCAGCAAATGTTTTCAGAGAGAGGAGGTTACCATTTCTGTGAAACTGCAGTGGAGACAGTCTAAGTACAGACACTGCTTCCTGGAGTCCTGCTTGAGGCCCCGTTCACACTGAGCAGTTTATCGTGCGATTTCCGCCACGAAATCGCGCATATTTCCGCGTGATATTGCTCTATGTAGCTTGTCCAATGCATTTCAATGGAGCTGTTCACATCTCACAGCTCAATGTCGCCTGTAGCTCGTCACTCATACATGACCCTTTTTTCCGCGGATGTTGCGCGATTTGGCTCCAATAGACTCTATGGTATCGCGCATTACCTGCGATATTGCACGTCTTTGTCACGCGATATCGCGCTACGAGAGGGTCACTTTTGCACTGCAAAATGGAAGGAAAGAATGATGTCACATCAAGATCGCTGTTGATTGGTTACAGCACAATGTAGCAGGGATGAAGTCCCGCCCAAAAAACACGCTACGTAGCGCGATAAAATGTGCAATGTCGCTCAATATCACGCAATGTAGCTCAAAGCCGCTCGGCACGAAATTGCTCCGAAAAATGCGCGATATCCATGCGCTCAGTGTGAATGGGGTCTTAGGTCTTTACATGGCTGCTAAACCTAAACTACATTATTTTTACCCCCCTTGTGATAGCAATAAAAGTTAAAAGGAGAAGTATTGGGAGAGTAAATTGTACTTTTCCCAGTACTTAGATCCGCGCAGGACACTGCGGAAGATACACACCGGCTCTATAGATCAAGAGCTGAGCGATCACATGAAGCTGATCACTCAGCTCACGGACCTTGCCCTTCAGATAGTGGTGACTGTCAGCCACTCCCCCCCCCCCC